TATATATATATATATATATATATATATAACAGCTATATAACATTTTAATAACACATATTTCTGTGATATAGCTGCAATATCGTTTAGGTGGGAAATTACAATTAACGTATATGTTAATGTACAAACATGTTATATTGCACGTTACATTCCGTTATATTACGATGTAACTGTTATATTATTGTATTTGCTGGGGAGCATCATAATTTAAACGTGAACGTCCGCAAGTATGTTTGTTGAGTGCTTGCATTGTACAAAATTAATCGTCGAGATCTTTAGATTTGTACACTTATTAATATGCAATTTTAGAGATTACTTAAAAGTGTTATCGCGCGCTAGAGCGGGTATGTACTTTTTCCGAACAGTCAGCTCCCTTTCGACGCAATAATATGCTCGTTATTACTGACAGAGTAATTGCATCATCAAACGACAGTGGTTCCGCGTGCGAGTGCTGAAAAGCTTTCTCGGGTCGAGGGAGCTTTTCTGGCAGCTCCGCGACCGAAGGTAAAATCGGGAACAGTGTCTTCTTTGTGTTAACGATACGAGCTTTTGGCAAGCTTTTGCACCATCTGACGGTTCTTCCGGAAGAGTTTTCGCGCGGACGGCTTTCAGGCTCGCGTGAAAGCTTCCAAATGGTGCCGCCATCTGCCCGCGACCCAGAGATATCTCTTTTACAAGTGCAACAAAATCATTTTATCAGAACGGAGCGCTCGTTGTTATCGCTGTTATTGCGGCTGTCGGTCGGAGTTAATTTTAAGCTCGATCGGAGCTCGTAATTGTAGTGATATCATTTAAATGGAGCGAATTCACGGCATCGGTAAGATTACCTCGCACATTCCTGCATAATTAAAATGGCACGTCTCACGAGAAATTTGTCATACTCGAGACTCTCGCGTGTTGCCAGATCGAATTTTTCTTATGAGACGACAGTAGATTCCCCTCCCCTCTCTTTTTCTCTCTCTTCAGAGAAGCGCTGGGACTGCGATGGGACGTTAAAGATATTCAAGAGATAAGAAATATTTTAATTAATTAGATTATCGAGGTAAAATCTCGTCGATCACGCGCGCGCAGCTGAGAAAATGACTGGCGGACTAAAGGACGCGCCTTCATCGAGGTGAGACACTCGGCGCGACATCGCGCCCGAAATTCGTGAAGTATGGCTCGAGAGTTGTAGTCACTTATTGTACACTCATAGTCGCCACACCCGCGTGCAAATAGCACCCGACCAGCATGCGAAGGCGATCGAGTGACCCAGCTTCGCGCGCGTGTTTGCGCTAAATACTGAATTGTGCGCCGCGTCGGCTCGGTCGGTGCGGCGTGACGCGGCCCCGTCATCGCGCACGGACGCTGCCAAAGAAATTCCGCGTGATTTAGCAAAAGGATTTGCATTGGAACGACAGCGAGAATTATCGCGTCATCGCGTTTATCGTTCTTTCGAGCGTTGCTTCCGTCATTTCTATCTCGGAAAGAGAGACAGATAGACAGAGAGAAAGCGAGAAATAAGTTTATTTGTGAAACGAAGTTCCTTCAGACGCTTACTCAACAGTATACATCGATTACAAAAAGAAAAGAGAACAGTTATATAATTAATGTGACATGCTTGTAAAGAATTTTGATGTGATCACTCGAAGGTAAATTAAGACTAGATCTAAATCGAAACCAAACGAAACCTACGACTGGATCACGAAAATTAAACAGTTAAGATAGAAAGAATACAACTTAGAAATAGTGAGATAATGATTATTACACGATAAACAAAGTAACGTGAGCGAAAATACGTGATCAATCGCTGCGGTTGAGGAGGTTCAAGTAAAGTCTTTTTTTTTATTTAATTTATTTACTGATCTGCGTTAGATCGAATATCTGGCGGAATATTGTTTCAACACTTTGAACGCAAATAATCTGAACGTTCAGTGAGGCAAATCGGCAAGGGAGAGAGAAAGAGAGAGGGGGGAGGACGACCGACGTTGGTCCTCGCAAAATCTCGATTTTCGCAATTCGCGACTTTTGCGCAGTTTCTCGACGTCAGCCGTAGGCGAAACGAATTCTCTTCAGCGTAGATTGTTACTTCGACTTCGCCCACCCTCGCTGCGAGAGTGAGACCGAAGATGATGATGACGTGTTCGCCGTGTCCGAGAAAAGGGTCTTCGCGTTCAGAATTTTCCACACGAAAGATAGAACCGCCATCTGTGAGATCCATGTTTTAGCTGCACTGAAAACAAAAGAAACGATCGACCTGACTCAAGTTACTGTCACTCTTGGCCTCAACCATACTTTCTCGTTGTCCTCACACGAGAATAATAGTAGCAACGTGTATACGAGGTTATTATTTTTGAATTTAATAAAGGAATAGTTCCCTTGATCGTAATATATAGTAATTATTTCTTCATGTGCTTACAGCAGAAGTATCCAAATACATCATAGGGATATCGCGTATGGACGTCGCGATATCTTTAGGACACTTCTATATTGAAAATAAAGAACAGTTGTGTCAACCAGAAAATTAGCAAAATATGACATAGCTTTTCTTTTTCTGACTTCAAGAATCAATTCTTAGTTGCGCTGATCTACCGATTCGTCGCCTCAAAAATGCATTTTTTCAGGCAACGAATCGCGGTGTTAACGTATGATGTAGCCCAAGAATTGGTTACTGAAACCAGAAATAAAAGCTATGCTATTTTATTGATTGACACAACTATTCTTTTTTTTTGTATATATTTTGAACATTTTTGCTATGCGAGTATAGTTACAAATATATCAAAAATTTTTTCCTGAATATTGATTCGTCGTCAGGATCCACTCGTGGATTCAGAACGAAAACTTCCGCTTGCCTGCCGGCGGAAACGGGGAATTACGCGCGCGGGGATGGACGTTCTTCCCGCGGGATTTCCCGAGATCCGAGCGCGTGCACACAACATACGCGCGATATTCTCTCGCGTTGTCCAGACACACTCTCTCCGCCTCTCCTCCACTCCTCCGTCCGTTTCCAAGAAAAATAGACGAACACGAGGGCTATAATGACAGATCTCGATATCTATGTATACTCGAATCCACGTGGCTTCTTCGCGCGATACTCCGTTACCGCGCTGAGTTTACACCGGCTTTAGAGGGGCGGGGAAGAAGGGGGCGCCGCCAAACAAATAGTAACACCTATGTAACACAGGCCGTGTGTAAAACTCGGGAAAATCAGTTCCTAGCGATACGCAACGCACTTGTTCACAATGAAGTTCATTCCTCCCTAATTGAGTCGAAAAATTCACACATCGATGCATGGAAATCGATTTCTTGATTTTTTCTCTGGACAAAGAATATAGATTGCAAGAGGAGACAATATTTCTCGTATTGTACGAAAACTCTTTAAATCGAAAGTTTATCAATAATCCAAAACAAGTATTTCTATAGAAAAATCTAAAAGTAAGAGCCAAATTGATTGAAATTGTCGAGTGCAAAAGATTTTAATAGTGTAAAAATCAGTATAACATAAACCATTTAATAGTGTAAAAATCAGTATAACATAAACCAATTACGGACTTGAGAAAACATCATTAAAACATATTACTCACACCCAAGAATGGCGATTTAGCTCTCACTGTCCTGTTAGATTTTTGTGATTTGCAATCTTGGAGCTCTTAATCATTAATGAGACATTTCTATAATTTGAGAAAAAGTGAGAGTAAATATCCGATAGAGATGTAAATTTGTGGGAAATGGACCTCCTCTTTGAGTCAGAATCGTGGGAGGAAAGGACCCTCAGGAAGTCTAAGTGGAGGAGCACCGGTGTCGCGTGGACGCGGAGCGCCGCGGCGTCCGCGGACGTCGTCGTCGCGATGGGTGGCGGCCTAATTATACGTGTTTCTCCGTATTTCTGGAAGCGGTTCGGGCGGATGGGGCGCGGAGCGGTCCACTCGCGGTACAGCGGCAGGCGTGTTTCCCGGCTTCAGTCGCGCGTGGTCCACGTCGAATCGCGCATATCTCGGGCTCTCGACCTACGGAAAAGAGAGAAAGAGTGTGTCGTTGGAAGAGACGTTCCTCGGTCGGATATTCAGGATTCTCGTTTTCGCCTGCTGTGTTGGACGCTCTACGACTCGCTAGATCTCAGCCTACATTCGCCGAGCACCCGTCGTCGTCCAACACTCGCCCATGAGGCGGGCACGCGGGTATCGAGAGAGCGAGAGGGCTCGGATCGATCTTTGGTTCCTCGATTAGATGCACCCACTGCAAGTTGCTTGATTTTACTATAACGCGCATCGTCGTTTCGGCAGCTCATCTGGAAGTCGCGCGAAGTCCTTACATTATCGGGAAAGATAGCGATGCAAATCTTTTCATCGATGTTGGATAATTAGATCGATTCGTGGCATTTCATTTCAAACGATCATTTCCCGGGCGGTCGATCCGCTTCTCGAGGACTCTCAGCGGGATCACGGGGCTATATGTTCGTGTACGAACTTGCAGAATTCTCTCTCACACGGCGAAGAATAAGCGAAAGGATTTCTCTCCGAGTGTTCATCGTGTGAAGCGTTTAGGGAGGAGTGACGTTTACATAAAATTGTGCGAAGCGTAACGCCGCGACGAGAATCATGGCTACCACGGAGGTTTTCCAGGACTGGGATTCTCCTTACGAGAATCTCAACACGATGAGGACCACTACTAGAAAAACTACGAAAACCACCACCAGAACGGAGGTAAGACTCGAGAGAAGTTAAAAGAAAAAGAGGAAAGGAGAAAAAAGAGAGAGAGAGAGAGTGAGAGAGAGAGAGAAAGAGAACGTGCCAATTAGGCTTTATTATATATAATTATTATTATGTAATTATTATTATTATGTAATTTTCCGACTTTTATTTTCTCACTCGATTTTTCAACAGTAGTTGTTAAATTTAGATTTAAGTTTAAATTCTGCTCAAATGCATTGAACACATTGTTAAAAAACAGAGTTTAAACTTGAACTGTACTATTGAAAAATTGTCTCTTAGACCCTTAGTCCCTTAGACTTTTTATTCTGTTGACATCATCAAATCCTTTATCTCGAACAGTCAGATCCTCCACCTTGAAAATTGCAAGATCAGATTACCAATATTATTCTATAACTTGAAAGCGAAAGGACAAGCGTTCCATGTTCATTTTCTCTTTCGAAGTTTCAAATCGCAGAATGAGATCTACATTGTTTGCATTTCAGAAGCCATTAATATTTAACCCTCCATGTACAACAATATTTTTTGAGACACACCGTATAGTCTAGGGCTGTCAAACTTAGAAAGCTTTGACAGCTTTGAACCACCATAATTTTGTTGAAAATCGATATTTTTGAGCACATTTCTTCCAGAAATATAGAGAAGTCTCGATTGTAAGAGAGTAGCACTAAAATAAAACCGAAATTTGTAGAGCATCCCTATTGATACAGGCCGTGACATTTGTATCTGTAATCGCGATTCAACTGAAAAACTCTCATCTAATTTTGAATAAAAATTTGAGTATTTTCGATTTGATTTTCTTCGAAATTTCAAGTAGTAAATATCAATACGAGCTCAAGTCCGATGTGCAAGCGCTCAGGTCGCGGAAGCTCTTTGTATTCGCTCGCTCACTCTTCGCGTCGGAGATGAAACGCGAAAAAGCGCGCTTCGCCTCTGGAATTAAATCCGACGGTTCTGCCAGAAACTGTCACGCATTCCTGCTGCTCGCACAGATTACGCTAATCGCAGATCTCTATGCTTGTCAAGCGGATCATAAACACACATGAGCAGAAGATTTAGGATGTGCACTCGTGGCACGGAAAACGATTCGTATCACAGAGGATTAAGCCGCGAATGGGTGGAAAAGCCAAGAAAATTTCCTTTTCTTGGCGCACTGTGGCTTCCGAGCGAGACAGGGACGACGAAGGCGCGCATGGTAGTCGCGTGGCTAGCGCGCGGTTACGCATCGAGAGCGATTTTCCGGCTGTTTATCCGTTTAAGCAGGTCCGACAGCGGCCTTGGGTCCTGCCAGCCGTTCTATAAACGCGCGAGAAACTCCGCGCCGACCTGAAGCGCGCTGCATCTCCAAAAAGGAGCGACGGATTGTCCGACTCTCCTCGGGAAAGGTGTCTCTCTGTAGCGCTGTTTTCCGTGCCGCGCGGGCTTCGTTAAATTTAATTGTCATCAATTCGCAGATCTGAAAGGCAGATAACAGGAACGTGCGAACGCGAGTGGCGGCTCGATTCTCGACCTCGTTAGCGGCACTTTCGCGCGGCCGCGCGCGGAATGTTGGCATTGAAATCTTCGAGCCGATCGCGTCGCATCCGGCCGGGGGTTGCACAAAAATACGTCCGATATAAATAGGGCCGTCATCGGCGATAAACAAAAGCGGCACGCGCAACACTCGGAAGGACCGAGCCGACGCGCTGCGAGCGCGTCGTCGTGATCCGCGCGTCTTTACGATCCTTTTCATTACCTATAAAAATAATCCGGTGTCTCTTTGTCGCGGCTGTGCTGGCCGTGCTGGCCGTGCGCCAGGTGGCGGGATAAAAGCCGCGGTGAAAAAGGGATATTGCGCAACGGGGGATGATGCTGTGGCACATCCATAACCCCGGCCGCACTTCTGGGTGTCGATCTCATGTGTCCTTTCCTCTAGCGTGAACTCGTGAAGTATCATTGACGAGTTTGATGAGACTTTTCACTTTTCACGCCAGTGTTGGCCATTGAGAATGCTATAGTCATTGCAAAACGTCACTGGAAATTATAGAAATGTGCCAATTTTCTAGCCTAAAAATTAGAAATATACTAATTCGCAATTTTTTATATTCGCAATTTTTTTATATTTGCTTATAGAAATGAACGATAATATACGATATACTGTTGAATAATCACATATTTTTACTTTGCCATCACATTCCTTTATTTTATATTATTTCTAACCTTTAAATTTTTATTTCTAAAGCACAATAAAACTTTGCATCATTTCGAATATTTAAAGTGCATGTGAAAGCCGAGATGTGTTCGTCATTATTTGTCAATTGTCTTTATCTTTCCTAAAGTTAGCAACATCATATTTCCACAACATGATTTGAAATATTCCCAAATAACAGGATGACGCCAAATATCATTGACGTCATTAATGCTTTATTAGAACGTCATTTGATGTCATCGTGTCTACCGGACTTACACTTCAAAGTAGAATAACTTTCAATTCAGACTTTGAAACGATGCCAGATTACTTGTGGTCACTTTTAGATGCAACGCGGCATTGATCTCTAATTTCTTTCTCTAATTTCTAATTTTCATCATTTTTAAGATATAGACAATATATTTTTGATCGATTAAAATGTTAGTTGATTAAGATAATATGAGTCATTAGTCAAAATTTGTCAATCGTCAAAAATGAAATAACTTAATCGATTGATAAAATCAATTATTAATACTTGATTCATTATACACTGATTAGTAATTAATGTCATCAGTCGATTAAATCACTCGTGATTACAGATATAACGATGGATTCATTTCAACGATTGATTGCCGATTATTTTACCAAAGACAATTTTGATCAATTAATGCCCAGCACTGATTCACACGCTAGAGGAAAAGATCAGTATTTCGATCTCGAATCCGGTCTCGAGTTTTCGATCTCGTGTTCGATCGAACGCGGTGCGTTTCGCGACGAGTTTCTCGACTCGCCGCGCGGGACTCTTCAAAGTCGATAGTTGAAAACGTCGCGTTTCATTAGTTTCTGCTCGATTTTCCGAGCTGCCCGACCTCGCGGGAGTTTCGCGCGTGACATCAAGTCCGTCGAATTGAGCGTTCTCGGCGCCTCGGTGCCTCCTTGAGATCGCTCCGGCCTCTCGAACTGCCGCGGCCTGCGTCTGATTGACATATTTTTCGTGTCGCCTTGGTACGACAATGTTGTTGCCGGGTCTTGGCGGATCGACACCTGGCTCGGTTTCATCGGCAATGATAAAACGCCTCACAGTGCGTGCCCTCGCGTCGCGAGCTGCCATTAATCGCGGACTCCTCCGCGTTTCCGCGCGATCTCGTCGCCGGAGCGTTTCGCAGAATTGCGCGAGAGAACGCGGCCGTTCTTGAAATACCGGTGCGCGCGGGTCGACCCGTTCTTGAGATTCCATCCGCGACTGCCACGGCGGAGGATCGTTTCCTTGAGAGCGAGAAAGAGAGAGAAAATGAGAAAGAGGAGGAGAGGAAGGGGGAGGGACGGCGGTTTACGTATTTCGCGCGTTTAGACATTTGCACTTATCTCGCCGACCTTACGCCCGTTACGTGTTTTCGCGACGGGTTATTGGCGAGGCGCGAAGAGCAAAACGATGTTCCGCGGCGGGCGCGCGAAAATGCGAGCCGGACAGCGGAATCGCGATGAGGACTCTTGATAGCCTGTTAAACCGGCTGCCAAGCGCGCGACGACGCGGCTTATAAATTATCCGCGGGAGATTAACACGAGCGTGAAGAATTACGGCGCACGATACAAATTGCGCTCTGTCGCTCGCCTTGGCGAAGGCGAAGTCGCACTTCGCTTTGGCGCGGCTCGATACGGCAGTAAGTTTGGGACGCGCGATTTGGGATGCACTCGCGCACAATGCGAAGACGATAATCTCGCGGAACGCGCGCGACATATCCGTGACGGTCGCGCGCGATTTCGCAGTTTGCGCGCGACGTTGAGGGCGACTGGAGAGAGAGAAAAACGCGGGAGAGAGAAGAGCGCGATTATGACATACCTGACGCGACGCTCACGTCTTAACGCGTCTCAACATTGTTTCACTTCTTACTGTTGAGGCATGGGGGAGACCGGAATTATCTGTCCACACGGTACTGCTATCTCAAATGCTAAGAGATGTCTGCATCATTCCAACGAGTAGTCGTGAAACTCCACACAGAGGATTCAGAAAGAAGCTTCTGCATCCCTTACATATATTGAGAGAAATTATCCGATAAAAATTAACAAACTGATATTTCCAGTCAAATTCCGATCAATTTTTATATCCGATCAGGATATCTGATTAAATTTTATCGGATACTTTCGATCATAATAACATTTTATCAGATAAACCGATCAAAAAATTATGAATCGTTATTTCTCATTGGATGTTTCCTGATCGGATACAAAAATTCATCGGCATCTTGATCGGAAATATTCGTTTGTTAATTTTTTATCGGATAATTTATCTCAATGTAGAGCTTTCTTGTTGTCTACTTGTTGGAATGGTGCAGACATCAATCTCTTGACACCTGAGATTGCTGCTTTTCGCGCTCGCGACGGGAGAGAAAGAGAGAGTGTATATATGTGTTACGAGCACATAACTCAGAAGTAACGCGGTAAAGGCGAATTTTGGCAATTCGCAGCGGGCGTCATATAGAGCGTTGGAGTGCAGGTCCGAATTATTTACGACGGATCTATTAATCCCGTGGCCCGCCGCGTCGCCTCCCTCATCCAGCCCGATTCCGTAACGTACGTCCGCTCGCTCGATTTCGCCAGAATAATTCCCGAGCGGTGGGCCCTCGCCGCGCTAAATCGGAAATCGTAAAACCGAGATTGTCGCGTCGCGGCGCTCACAATAGAATACGCCGCACGCAATTGGCAGTTCCGATGTCGTTTACCTCGCCGCACGGCCTGCCGTCAATCCTCGACGCGCGAGCGACGTGTAATACCGGTGAAACTGTCGTTCCTCGCCCCCGAGAGAGTCGTCTAATTATAAATTTCCGAC